ATGCATTTGACCGACGCCGGCCTAGACATTGAATGGAATGAATTAGATGTGGACATGGAAGGGCTAGGAGAGGAAGGAAAAGGTGAATGGCAAGGTGTTAAGCGGCGGTATTGGACCTTAGACAGTAAGTCTTGCTCGGCGGGCTCTACTTCTTCAATGCTAACGAGGGTTAGAATACCGGCTTCCTATCATCACTCTAATGGGTTAAAAATAAACGCACTCAAAGTTGATGACAGAACTATACACATTGATCGTATATTCGTGTGCCGTGCCAAGACTGCCATCTCTATGTTAATCAGTCCTAGTGGACACATCACCCCCTAGTGGCTTTATACACGACGTACTACACCCATTTACTTAAAATTCTCTGGGTGAAGGATACCAGCGACGTTGCCCTTGGCGAATCTCTTGAGCGTCAAGGCAGCAATCAACGCGGCACCGACACCGCTACCGTCTTCGGCAGCAAGGATCTCTACCGGATCCTCATCCTTCGGGTTAGACTTAGCTGGCCAATCTAGAATTTCCCGTAGAGCCTGAGCGCCTCGGGCTTTGAAGTGGGGATACTTGTTGAAGACAGAACCGTCGGCGCCTACGTGACACGGCTGAAGGTTCTTCTTGGTACAAATAGCAGCAACGCCGCAGGCAGAGAGGCGAGCAGCACGAGTGCCGATCAACTCAGCCGCTCGACGAATAAGTTCGCGCTCAGGCCGAGTGCAAGACAAAGAGAGCTTCTCTTTAAATAAGTCCGCAGTCTCTTGCAAGTTCTCAAAAGGGTCGCTAGAGATCGTCAGCAAAACCGTAGCTTGCCAATGGGCATGTGGGAATAGACCAACTCTTCAATTGCGGATAGGAAGGACGAATCCAGCGTGTACGGCTTGCGCAAATGCTGAATATCCTGACCCTCGAAAATGTGAACATCCTTATTGTCGTGTAGGTCCACCAAGATCAAACGGAAAATCTCGCCCAGATATAACCCCGCAATGCACTTTTCGAAAGCTTGCTGACCTGGTCGCGGGGATTCCTTGTCAATAATTACGTCGTACTTCGTACGAGGTAGTATCTTGTGCTCGTTGTCAAAGGCTCCCCATTCGCAGTTGATGGCCATAGGCATATCTGCTGGCAGGTTCATGTGCGCCAGCTTGGGAATAGAACCACAATGCTCCATGTATGCAGCGTTACACCCAGTTCCAAAAATGCACCCGATCTTCATCTTCGGGTCGGTGTAGGCCGAAGCAATAAGTGTACCCGTGGTGTCATTGATCAACGCGGAAACGACGATTGGCACACCCTGTTACACATGTTAGGGTTTGAGCATGATACCGGCAGACGTGAACTTACCCGTCGTGCCAGCGCAGCTTCCAGCATGGGCACGACATTCTGACCCTCCACACCGTCGATGTCGAACCCTTTAGTCCATCGTTGAAGGATACCTTCATCGATATAGTTCTGTGTCGCAGGATATGAGAATGTAAAACCAAGAGGGATCTTCCCCACGACAGGCCCTCGTTCGGCCTGCTGCGCCTCGACAAACTGCTGCAAACAGTCGGCTATATACTCCCAGAGCTCTTCTGAGTCGCCCGTCTTTAGTTCCTCTGGCATGCGGTATTTTGACTGAATGATGTCGAACTCGGACTTGTTCTTAGTTAAGGTGATCTCGCAAACGCGCAAATTGGTACCACCCATGTCCAGAGCCAAGTATGTGCCAGTTTCGTGTCCATCTGGGAAGTCCATAACCCAAGTCGGATTCATGGGCTAATGACCTTTGATTAGTTTTCCGCCGGACTTGGTGCTTATCTCGACAAGACCTACAATACTGCCTCCCTCCACACTCAGACCTATATTCGTTAGTTACCTTCAACCAGCTGCCCTGAGATATCACATACCTTTCTCAAGCTCAGACACGAAATGCTTCGTAATCGCCTTAAGCTTAGCTGTGTCAACAGTAAAGGCTTCCTCCAGGTTCTTGATCTCCGCCAAAAGATCCTTAGGCAAATCGGCCATAGAGCCTGTGGAATTTGATTGTCAGTAGTTGTTAGATCTTGAAAAGTGCCAGTATAAGAGAGGCTGCTTAAGGAATTTGATGCATCAACAAAATAGCGGTGATGATAGGTGTGTATACCCCTAGTTTCCGTCCCCTGCTGCCTGCACTCCATGATAAAGTCAAGCCGGTCTGGCTAATAGGCGTATGTTGAAGCCAAACAAAGTACGTGAGGATATAAAATTGTAGTGTATGATATAAGTGAATCAATAGTAGGTATCCAAGTAGCTTGTTGTACTCGCAAAGTGAACAAGGTACAGATGGGTATGGGTAGGGCATGAGCAGATGGGGAACGCTTCATGTGGCAGATTAGGTGTGAGGATTTAGGAGGCCATTTGATAAGAAGCAAGGCTTATGTTAAGTGAAGAAGCGACGAGAAAAGTCGTTCACTACACAACATTGTGGGCAAAGAAAATATGCCCAACTAATATAGTGGTGGGAAGGAAGCATGGTAGGTTTGTTTTCAGTGCTTGTCATGTGCAGTCCAAAGGCCGCACCTTCAATGAACCGAAGGAGTAAGACGAATGGCAAACAATTGAATGTGTGTGACCTCACGTCAGAGCTTTGTGCACGGATTACGACCAAATTGAATAAAACCAAAAATCGGAGAAATACATACCCTTGCGCGATGGCGGCTTTCGCGGTCCTACCCCAACCATTCTGGAAACACTTGGCACTAGGGGTGGCTATATTGATTGACGTAGATTGATTTTCTACCGTGGCTTCAAATCACACGAGCTGCAAACTGTAGTTTGAGGCTCGAATCAGCGAGAATTTGGAGCGACTCGAGTAGATTAGGTCGGTGAGGGAGATGGAGATGTTGGCAATAGATAGCAGTTTGAGAGAGAGGTTTGACTAGATACCTCTAGGTAGCTAGTAAGTAAGCTAAAGTGGCCCTTACTCAGCAATTTGGCTGGTGCTGTAACGATAGGTATAAATACCTAACCAACCTTTACCTCCCTTGTGCAAAACCGAAGAGCTGGCTTTGCGGACACTACAAATATGACAGAGCTCTGGGGCTGGGTGAGGGGCTGAGGGGCAGAAGCTGTCATCACATCTTAGTTCAGTACCCCTCCAGAGACCAGACAGGTACAGGCCAAGCTGAATTGGCTTGCTGTCATCATGTGGTCCACAGAAAAATCCCAATTACGTTACGCTTAAAACAGCTCTGTGCTTAACCACTTTCGTGGTGTACGGCTAGTTAGGCTTAGCGCGCTCGCCGCTTTTGCTCACGTTCACCAAGTTCAACGTTCCGATTTGTGGTATTAGGCCTATGTACTATGTAGAGGTGACTGAGGGTTAATGTCCATGCATAACTTACATAGGTAGTGCATAGGTCCTATACAGGTAGATAATGTTATATACCTATAGGATCCCAGAAAAATCCTCGAAGCAATGAATGGCATTAAATACTTACTTGGCGCAAAGGTCCCCTTTTACTGACTTATTGTAGTGGTAAGGAACGAGGCAGAAACTCGTGAATATGCAGAGAGAGTCCTATACAAGAACCTCCAGAACGAAAATCGAACGCTTATCCTCGATGGCCCCGTCTGACTGTTAATCAGGAGTTGAAAGTTTAAGCTTTTCCCAGAGTCTTTGCTTTATGTGTCACTATTTGCTCCTCTTTTATATAGGTTAGGTAGGTAGTTATGTTTTTTGACGTTCTTAATCTTGATGTTGTTGTTCCCAACGGGCAATGTTTGTCTGGCTTCTCTTAAACACAAGTTCCCTCTAACCACAAGTCCATCACCTGAGACGATTTCGCTAGAAGAGTGATAGATTGCCTCACCACACAAGAAAGAGGTCACCGAGTTCATATTTTTTCTATAGTCTCCGGGGTCTCAGGCTAGTCAACATACTGGCTAGTCGGTCATGCTGTACGATCAGCCACAATGCAAGTAATCTCATGCATCTCCTTGGATCGCCTTCAACACCTACACACCTTGCCGGCTCTGGTACCTTGCCGTCTGGTTTCTTTCCTACAGGAAATATTCTCTCGTAACGCCTGAGGGCTACAATTCAATTTGAGCGGTGATGGATATCAGCGATATATGTCGAGGTTCACTCGAGGAAAGGGAAACTCAGTGGCGCGGTCACCTACTAGAACAGGCGGCGGCGGCAAATGTACTACTAAGGTATAATCCCTAGCTCCGGAATGACTGAAGCCAGCGCATCCGCAATGTCAGGCTGCTGATGGGCTAGGATGACACGTCTGCGAGAGTACAAGCGTGTGTTACTTAGGTATTGATGGGTGTTATGTCACATTGCGAGATCGCAAGTTGCGTACAGTAGAATCCCACGATTTTGGCGCTGCAGTTGCAGTCGAACGGATTGCGATCCCAACGGTAGGAAATTTTCTCTATTGCATCCAATGTAATTTTGATATTAGATACAAATTCCAACTCCCCTATAACTCGGAGCGGCCTCGATCCAGCAGGCCTGTATTTGTGTGATCAAGTCTTGTGATCCAAAGTCTCTTATGTGGGGGATAAATAGTATATACTACCAAGAGATGGAGATAGTAGTGCTGTTAATGAACAAGGCTTTCTTCATGCAAACCTTGGAACTCTGACAAGCCTGAATTGTATAAAGGGTAGAGACGGTATTACAGGCAGTTGCTTAAAAAGGTAACACAATAGTTATTATAAATTAAGAACAATGCAAGGCCTTAACAAGTGGGAAACTAGAGCAAAATATAAAGCTTACCCGGAAAGGCTTACTTAAACTTTTTGGCATATTAATTTCCCGGTGCAGTACTAGTGGAGTACAGATTACAGCGGACCTATTATCTATATTTACTCCGTAAACAAACAGACAATAGATAAGGTCCAGTGAACCTATAAAGTTTACTTACTGTATTAGGTAACTAACTAGCCTTTTGACCCTTGTCCCAGCGGGGCAAGCACCTGGCAAGTCTTACACAAAGGACTATAAAAAGGAAATATTTAGAAAAAGACAACAACTCCCCCGGACAGGCTTGAACTGTCAACCTCTCGATAATCTGTTTCATAACAGTCGAACGCGCTAGCCAATTGCGCCACGGAGGATAACCGCTTGTGTTGTTGTGATGGATTTGTTATCAGAAAATCTCACAAAATTAAGAAGGTGCGGTGGAAAGGTGCAACGGACGGTGTGCCTGCCATGTCAATTACTCCATCCCTTTTATAACCCACTGTTCTGGACTCCCAAATATGACCATTACACAGAAAATGTCACATAATAAACAGTGCCCCAACTATGACCCTGGCGCTGATAGTTAATTCGTTTCGCCATTACAACAACAAAAAGAACAAACGGTAACAGTTCCTAGGTGGGTATGTATTGGATATTATGCAGGTTTATTCATGTTAGCTTGTGCAAAAGCAGTTCAGGTCAGGTCAGGGTCAGGCTAAAAGCAGCATCATATAGTACCAATGGTCAAACCTATCAACACAACTCAAGTGGGCAAGGAGCAAAAGTCGGAAATTTACTGAATAGCGGTGTACAGTACTCCCTATCTATTATCATTTCTCTAGGGAACTAAGCCGTCTACAGAACAGGAGATTTGATTAACTTATACTATATTATCACCCAAGCCTGACCGCATCTAAGCTGTAAGTACAGACGTAGAACACCGCCCTTAACTCGGCATGTGAACAACAGCGCAGCGCCACATTGGGAGATAAATTACAGATACAAGAGAGTATAGAAACGAGGCAACACACATTCCCGCACGAATTCATTTATTCATGACCTCTAGCAAAGTTATACTTATTTCCTCGCAACAGCACATCTAGGGAGCTCGTGCAATGCAAGTGCCAAGTAGGTACGGCGAGTTCTAGCCGCAGAAAAGACCGTAGTAGTACCGTATAACTACCATTTCTGGGTGCATTTCGCATGAGAGGTGGTTGCACTCAGGAGCAATAATCGGATTCAAAACCATGGTTCATTGCCGAATTTTGGCAGCTAGGTAGAGCACATGCGTTATAATTTGACCTATCTCGCTCTAAGCAGCAGCATTATATCGCCAACAAAAGACAACACCTAGCTGTCAGCCTATCCACGCCTCCCCACTAAATTTGACAAGAACTAAATTCCTGTGTCACTTATTCTATTCGATAAGATAACTGAAGTATATCGGTAGGGTATTCGCGATATTCTGTTCAGTTCCGCCGAATATGCATCGAATGCCCTGAATGCTGTCGAGACTGCAATGACAACCGGGTCTAATGATAGGAACCACGAAGGGAATAGTATACTTCCTAGAATATGTTTCGACTTACTTCCGAGAGGAAGAGTCACGTCCAACAGTCCTTACGTGTAGCCCCTGCCAATCTGGTCCGATTTGTGATCTTCATAGCAGTTAATTGAGCGACTGGTGAGTGTCGAGCTTCGTGGTTTTCTCGTCCATGACCTGTGAAGCATGTTGGACTACTTGGTCGGGAGACTTTTCGTCCTGTTCCTCAGTCTCAGGGAGCTCTGCAAGAAACAAGTCGGTGATGCGACCCTTGCCGGTCGCCCTTTGAAAGATAGCTAAGGCTGTCCCGAAATCTCTTTGTCTGCCGATCTGTATGGCATCTAGCATGTTCAACGCAAAGTTCTGGCAGTTGTTGGTGATGAGATTATAGCCTTTCTGTCTTTCTCTCATATTGTAAATCACCATCTCGCCTGAGTGTCAACGAGCTTGTGTCAGATCTTCATTACCTTACGAGGGAAGTTCTAGTAGATTGTAGTCTCACCAGCTTGCCTCAAGGCCTCGTCATTGAGTCTAGTCCTGCCGACTTTGTAGGTGGTCCACTCATGATTCGCCTGTGTATCATTTATGTAGATGATATCAAGATTTTCATCCTGTAGATTGTAAGCAGTAGCCACAGCTCACCAGACACATCGTGGGCGTAACAAACCATCCAAAGTTGATGACAATAATCGCCCACAAGTATAGCCCAATGCTGAGTGGGATCAGGATAGTTATTAATTTTCTTGGAGACAAGCTGGCCAAGCGCCGTCTCTGCTAGCCATCCTCCGCCAGGAACCGGATGCCACCCGATAGCTACGGCACGACTCTCCATAACTCCCGGCTCACCCGGCGGAACTACGTTGGGCTGGTGGCCCCTTTTGGAAGGATTTAACATGCCGTGTCAAGAGATATTAGCGGTCACAAAGAAAAGAGTTGCTCACAGTCCTAGGGCATGTTCAACCTGAAGCTTTCCCTTCACAATTTCCTCTTTGCCCTTCGAGAGTCCCTTGGAAAGCCCCGCTTTTCTGCGCGAAACTGTTAGACTCTTTTGGCTCATCAGAAGACAGCCAAGCTTTTAGCCCTTACAAGAATGACTTGAACCTGCGGGTTTTGGAGAGTGGCTCACTTTCCGAGTTGGACATTGTAGTGCCTTGTTGGTAAAATCCGCGTGTTCCGTTCCGTTCCGTTTCGTTTCGTTTCAATCCGGGGACTGGCGAGATGGGATGAGCGACTAGGTTAGGAAGATCCCTGGACGAACTGCTCTGCGGCGAGCCGAACCTTGGTGGTTGACAGCATAAGATGGTACCAATCACCAGGCTTGACAGCGATTAACATTTGGTGGGAGGGACAGGCCTGCGCATATTAGTGTGGGGTTTGCGTTTCTAACCGTATACGGTCTAGCGCATCTTTCCCAACCCTGCATCCTGATCTGAATCTCCCTGAGCACGGGCTCCTCATCGGATCAATTCTTTCCTTAGCTCCGAGGGCTATTGTGTACATCAACCCACCGGTAGGTAGAAACCTACCCAGGTCCCTTTGCTAAGTACGTAAGTTGTACTGGCTATAACCGCTGATTGGAGTCGCCGACCCACTGGTCTTGTCTCGGGCGCATTCAAGCAACGTAAGCTGTAACTTTCAGAGAGGTGTACACTAGCTCTCCCCAAAGGGCCAAGACAACATCACCAACCAAACGTGAGAGGACTGTCGCATATACCCAGTTGCCCAGGTTCTTCTTTTTCCTCTTTCTCTTTCCTCCATACCGGATACCGTGCGCTATTGCGGAGCTGCTCAATTGATGAGCGCCCCATTCGGTACCTCTTCACCATGAAGTTCACTGGCATTGCGGTTGCGTGTCTTTCCCTACTTTCCACAGCCTGCGCCGATACCACTGCTGCTGGATCAGCCTCGTCCAAGATTGTCCTCTCCTCCACGTTCAAACCACCACAAGTCTTCAAGAATGCCAATCTAGTCCACATCATCTCGCTGGAGAAGAACTACGCAAAAGAGTCCATAAACGTCGTGATTGAGAACGCCTCTCCGGACCCCCAAGATGAATACTTTCTGCCTTTCACAAGCGCGCAGATGGAGAAGATTGGCGGCTTCGAGGTGAAGGATAGGAAGAACTCCGACATTGTCGGCTTCACTGTAGATGCAGTCGAGTTCGATCCGTCAAGGTACGTCGGGCCTCACAAGTTGTGTTCTATTACATCAGAGCTCCCACTGACAGCTCATTTGACAGTGACACACAATTCTACCGCATCAAATTGCCGGCGCCTCTCTCGTCCAACAGTCAACAGACCCTCGGCATCTCTTTCTACTATTTGAATGCCCTGAAGCCATTGCCGGCGCTCGTCGAGCAAACGGACAAGCAGTACCTAACATATGCCTTCTCCGCCTACTGCCAATCGGCATACCCTACGTTGAAGCAGAAGACCGAAGTGAAGCTGCCCTCATCCGACGCCCCAGACTACACCAAGATTGCCGGAAATGGGGAAACGAAAGAATTTCCCGTAAAGCAAGGATCAAAGCTTACCTATGGGCCCTTTTCCGAGGTTCCAGCCGGCGCAAGCTCGCCTGCCACTGTGCGATACGAGTTTAACAAGCCCGTCACCCACGTGTCGCAGCTTGACCGCGACGTGGAAGTTAGCCATTGGGGAGGTAATATTGCCTTTGAGGAGCGATACACGCTTTTCCATTACGGCGCGAACCTCTCCTCTCAGTTCAGTCGAGTCAAATGGGCCCAGTCCCAGTACTTCAGCCCCCAGACCTTCGCTCTAAAAGAGATGAAGTTCGTTCTTGGAGCTGGAAGCAAAGATGCCTACTTCACTGATGTTATTGGTAACGTATCAACATCCCACTTCCGTGCCACGAAGCGAGAGGCTATTCTCGAACTCAAACCCCGGTACCCCATCTTTGGCGGCTGGAAATACCCATTCACAGTTGGTTGGAACGCCGATTCAAACAACTATCTGAAGAAGTCGGGCGGCAAATTCTTACTAAAAATCCCCCTCATCGAAGGCCCTAAGCAGGCAGAGGGCATTGAGTACGAGCACGTCGACGTCCGCGTCGTTCTGCCAGAGGGTGCAGAGTAAGTGAAAAACTAGCTGAGCTTCATGCTGGCTGCTAACAAGTATATAGGGCCGTCAAATTCTACACCACAGCCCCTGAATCATCAATTACTGAGCATAGTGTCGAAATTGTAAGGACGTATTTGGACACTGTCGGCCGGACTGTTCTTACGATCAAGGCGCGAAACCTAATAGACGAATTACGAGACCGCGAACTGATTGTGTCATATGAGTACTCGACCGCGGCCGCTCTCCGCAAGCCGTTCGTTATCTTTACGAGCACCATGACGGTGTTTGTGGGCATGTGGCTGCTCTCAAAGTTGGATGTAAGCTTCTCAACAAAATGATGATACCAGATCTGTTGTAGTGGAAAAGCGGAAATTTCTAGACGTTTTTGTAGGAATATAAAAAAGGGCATGAAACTCAGGTATCGCAACATAAAGCAAGGCACAATACTAACAAAAGAGTGCTGAATAAAGAGAGAAAAGGTCAAATGATTGTCGTGTCGCCTATGAGCTAACCTACCTAAGTTATGTATATCGTAATACCGACTTTTGTGGAAAATACCGAGTAACACCACACTCTCGCAATATAAACTTTGCGTCTTGTCGTGTCGTCTGTTCCAGTGATGGAAACTTGCATTCCATTTACTTTTACCGCTTACTTATATCCAATAGCGGATCGACGTTATAGCCGCATGCAGTATGCATGTAGGTTAACAGACAGTACCTAGTAGAAATGTTTGAGGCCACCTATCACCGGA